ATAGCGATGACGAGCACCAGCTGATCGCTCAGTATTGCCAGGCTCTGCCAGGAACCAGCAACGGAAGTGCACCCAAGTCGCCTGTCCAAGTGATGGCCGCCATGGATGCGGAACAGCGGGAGGAGCTGGAGGCCATCATACGCGACCTCGAGGAGGAAAACGCCAATCTGCAGGCGGAGTACCAGCAACTGTGCACCAAGCAGCAGAGCGGCACGCCCGAGGACTCCAATGGCATGCAGCACTCCAGTTCCAGCATGACAGGTCTTTCCGGACAAGGCGAGCAGGGACAGGTGAGAGTTTGGCTTCTTATTCAAAAACATTCTTGATTAAAATTCAATAAAATTCCAGGACATGATGGCGGAGGCGAAGCTGCTGCGCCAGCACAAAGGTCGCCTGGAGGCGCGTATGCAAATCCTGGAGGACCACAATCGGCAGCTAGAGGCCCAATTGCAGCGGCTGCGTCAACTCCTGGATGAGCCCAATGGCGGGGGCAGTAGCGCCACCAGTAGCGGCCTGCCCAGCGCCCCCGGCTCCGCCTTGAACTCCAAGCCAAACACCCTGCAAACCCGCTCGGTGACCGCCTCGCAATTGAACACCGACTCACCGGCCAAGATGAACCAGCAGAATGGCCACTACGAGCACAACTCAAGTGAGTGGGGAGGGCTTACCAATCAGGGGATTCGATTTTCGTGTTGACATACTTGTGCAGTGTGTTGCAATTAGCATTGTTTGATCGGGAAATCGATTTAGCTGATAGGGAGCTTGAATATTAACTGGATTTTTGTGATTTATTTATTATATTGTAGTCGAAAAACATGTAGTTCGAGTAATAATTTCACATTTGGTTAGGTTTCACATACCAATGTATATTCATTCAAATATAAGGTGTATGATTCTGTTACATAAACAAGGATACCAAAATAGCTAGAGGTTTACCAATGTGCAAGCATTTAGATAGATTCATAACTGAATTTTAAAATATAATAATTTTGTTACTAATTGACCGTTAGAAGTAGGTTTAATGACTTTAGAGAATGCAGAATAGACAGGGGTATACTTGGATAAGCAAAGTGCCAACTTAAGGATACTGTTTAGGAGCTTCCCCCAAAGTTTTGGGTTCAGACTAACAGAGAGTGACAGCCCCGCCCACTAGCATTAACGAAGGGGTCTCCTGCCAACTTACCTCTAATTGTGTGCTGTTCTTGTCTGTTCTGCTCTGCCCGAAACCCGCCACCCACTCTAATGTACACCCCCATCCATGAAAACCCTCCATGTCCAACCGCATCTCCATCGAAACTGCAACCGCAAACACACACTCGCAGAGGGCATTATGCTGCCGGGGATGAGCAGCGAGATGCAGCAGCAGCACGCCCAGCTGGCCAGTTTGGCGGCGAAGCATCATCAGCACCAGCTCAGCGGAGCCCTGAACGCGTTGCATCAACAGCAGCAGCAGCAGCAGCAGCAACAGCAGCAGTTGCAGCAGCAACATCCGCAGCAGCCGAGGAACATGATGACAGGCAACGGCGGACTGGACATATCCGGCGGATATCTGGGGGACGACGGCCGCCCACCACCGCCCCCACACTCCAGCCTCATGCAGCAGCAACATCAGCAGCACTTGAATGGTGCGGAAATAGATGGCAGTCACTGTCACCTTTTGTAGCCTGCTCAATTTTATGACCTCCTCTGTTGCGCTTGTGTTCAGTTTGTGTTTCGTTTGCGGTGCCCACTTTCGGGCGCTGGATTTTATTTTCGATTGCAAATCTCTTGTGTTGTTTGTGTTGATGTTGTCCATCTGGTTTTATACCCCCTATAAATACTAATCTTGATTATTTCTCTTGCTCTGCTCTCGTTCCACTGCCCCAAAACCGAACTGCAGATCTTGCCTAGATTGTGTTGGATTAAATCGGTAATGCAACAATTTGTGTTGTCACTTCACTATTTCAGCGAATCGAAAAAGCAATCGTGTGTCAGATTTCTAATCCGGATTTATTTCCTTTTCCCGCAGAGAACTCCAGTGGCCTGGTGACCGTCATTACCGAGCAGGAGTTGGAGAGCATCAACGATGACCTGGACGAGACGTCGAGCAGCAACACCACGAACACAACGACGACGACGACCACGGCAACCACGGAGAAGACCTGCGTGGAACTGCAAAAATAACACCTTCGATACTTAACTGCAAGGCATTAAACTATAAAAACAAAAAATAAACAGTATAAGAATCCAAAAGAATCAACTGCAAGTGAGGAAATCCAATTGGCTGGCCTGCAAAATATTCTAAATAATCATACCTAAACACCTAAAGATAGATCCATATAACTATTGTGGTACATATATTTATACATTATTGCATACGAAGAAGAATCGGATGGGGGAGAATTTCAAGAAGAGCTTGGACTAAGCTGAGAACACTTTTTTAGTAGTTATGAAAGATACAAATCTATATATATTATATACAAATATCGAAGCATAAGTAAGTGAAACATATTGAAAGCTGGAAATAATGCAGAAATGATTTAAAGATTAGATAAGCTGTAACTCCCACACATACATACCTACGATATAATAAAACACCTATATCATAATTGAAACATAATCATAATTTGCTAGTACATGCAAAATTGTTATAACTCGCACCTTTTTCGAAAAAAAGAGATAAGAAAATACCAATTTCAACGATACAAAAAATACTAGCTAAGGCGAAATAGTTTTTGGATTAGCTCTCATATCATTTTGAAGCTTATACAATAAGCGTTTTAAATGTAAATGTCAAAACACGCAATCAATTTTAATTTGTATCCTTATTTATTCCGAGTTCTTGTGTATTATTTCTTAATATTATTTAATATTAATATCTGTGCTAACTGAAAGTGTGCTGCAATGTTTTTAATTAAAGAACTATTATTGAAAAACACTGACCTTATACTTTTATTTTGACTTTGGTTTGTAGACAACAAGATCTTATTAAACCTAATCATATGCTGACGAATACGATCACTAAATGGACCACCTTTTCTATCTACTTAATCGAATCGAATCTTATCTACTACCAGAACCATCAAACAAATTAGATAATCCACATCATTCCAATGAAACTAGTCAAATTACACTTGAATAACTCAGATATAATTACGAATCAAATGATATTGAAAACTGCTTTAAAATACCTAAATACCACAAAAAACTAATCGAATCGATAAATTTAGATGTCTACAACTGATACCCAATATCGTACAATACTCACATCAATATAAGCAAAAGATATAACCAAAAGAGAGTAAATTTTTAACCTAGATATGCCACAGATTAAAACATATTTATAAATATATATCAGACAGTAGCTATATATTAAAATGAAACGTTTAGGTTTATTTCCCTTGAAACTTCCACCTTTAGTTAACGAAATTTAAAAAAGTTAGGAACGAAAATAAGGACAATATGAAAACACTTTTAGGAACTGTTATCATTTAAGATTCTCATCTATCGATTTGGTTTATCTTAACTAGGTTCACTTCTCACTAGAATTTCCGGGCACTTAGTAAATTACACAAAATGACTATAAATATAGAATGAATTAAACAAAGAGATATAGCTATCATCAAAATGCAGTTAGCAAAATATAATTAACCACTTCTGTGTAGTGAAATGTCCCAACTATGAGTATTTTTCTAACCATACCGTACCAAACCAAACCGAATCGAATCAAAGTGTGTAAAGGATGTCCTACCAATAACCAATCAAGTTTAATAAAAGAAAACCCTCCGTTTCAAGTTATAAACAAATGAACCAAAATCGAAACAAAAATGCTTAAATCAACTATCTAATAACCATTAGTGAAACATATCCCATTCAAACCCTTAAATATAAAATTTATACGCATAGGTCGAAACCATTTCTAGGAGTACGTAGGTCGAGGACGAATTTAAGAGCATCAGTTCGAGTAACTGACATCTGAGTTGAGAATAGCCAAAGCTGCCATTTGTTTGTCCCCACTTTTATACTGACAACTGATATCAAGCAACGCAATTCAAGCATATCCCGAAATAGTCTTCATCATCCAGTGGTTGTCTACAATAGATTTATACCTTATGCGAAAAACCGATGGGAAATCGGACGGAGAGACCCGAGACGAAGCCAAACAATCAACGAAGAAATTATGAATTAAATATTATACACTTGTCAAGGAACATTGTGAGCTATATTAGCCGCTTATTTACCGTATGTACACCGTATATTAGTCTCTTATTCTAAGCAGAATTACTTAGCTAAATTGTGTCCAACTGTAAAGGCCTCTAGAGCACAGCACTTCGTATGGTATATCAGCCTAAAGCCGTTTAGTTTAAATATCGTACACATCAAATCAATCAGACGGATACAGATAGACACAATGCCCCGAGCTTGGCAACTAATCGTTTGTGTTGGAATAGAAGCTTCGAAATTAATTTAGTGGTAGCAGGCATGACTCAATTGTACCTATCTTTTGATACCGTTTATTACAAAACTAAGGACTATAATCGTATTTAAATTGTATACCTAATCGAGTGCAGCGAGACCAAGACGCACTCAGCATGATGATGAACTTTTGAAGTCGGATGAAGCATACATATATCGATATCGAACACATTTCAATCTGTTCTACGAATGGTAGCTCATAGAACTTATTATACATAATACATAAATAAATGACACATTATGCATTGAACTAAACTTATTTATAACATACGGTGACATACTCGAAACGTTTATATACAACACACATATATTTATACATAATCAGAATAATTATACATATGAGATATGCCACATACGATATCATATAACATATACATATATGAACCATTGCGAAAAGTTGATACAATAAATAAAACACAAATCAATTGCGTTAAATTATTGTTCTTTTATTATTGTGAGTATCTTTTTCTGGGCCCATTCAACTTGATATCGAAATAATTTGAATATTTATGCCAATTTTTAACATTACCCCAAAAAATCAATAGTTTTTCGTTTATCGGTTTATTTCTCTAGACTAACCATTCAACAACATATTCTTAAGACATGTACGTAGGCTAAGTGTATCTTAAAATCAATCTACATGTTGGATCGGTATCAAATCCCTCGAAGAACACAGCAAAAGAGATTGAGAGTACAGCGTTTGGCACAGATATAGCCGGAGATTCAGTATTGGGTCAGTGTAAGCTGCGTGCGATAGATGAAGTCAAATCAAATCAGATCAGATAGTGGAGAACATTGCTCCCTCAGTGATGGTAGTAGGCATGGGGATCCACGGGAGCAGGAGCCGGATAGTGGGCATAGGGACTGTGGGCCAGGGCGGGATAGGCGGCATGGAAGTGGGCGGAGGGCAGGACAGGAGCAGCCACTGGCACAGGCACTGGTGCTGGAGCAGGAGCAGGAGCAGGTCCAGGATGCGGAGCACCCCGGTGAAGAGGACCCAGGGCCAGCGGATACGAGAGCAGGGGAGCCTTGGGCACCGGCGGAAGTGGAGGAGCCGGAGCTGGACCATAACCAAGATGAGCTGGTGCTGGAGCGGGTGCAGGTGCGATGACAGGGGCCAGGTGGGCAGGTGCCTTGTAGGCCAGTGGCTCCTTGCGAACCACCGCATTGAAACCGTGATGCGGATCAGCCGTGTAGTCAACGGTGCGCTTGGTTCCATCGGGATCCACCACCGAGTAGCTGCCCTTCACCACATCGCCGTGACGCGTCTCGTGCTGCGACTTCAGGTCACCGGTATACCCATCCTGAATGTCATATCCAAAGGAGTACTTTGGCTCGGGGTCGTAGGGTTCAGGAGCTGCGGGCTTGGGTGCCACATAGGGTCCGGGAAGAGGGCCACTTGGCGGGCCATAGCCTCCATAATGGTGCAGAGGTCCAGGACCAGCTGGACCACCATAGTATGGTCCAGGTCCAATCACGCCTGCATAGGCGATGCCAAGCACGGCGCTCAGCAGGGAAATCTATAAAAAGTATACATTTTTAATAAGAATATCCAATAACAGTATTAGAGTAAGCAGAAGTGTTCTACTACCAATAATATTTATGGGATGAGGTAAAGTTTTAACTTAAATCTCTATTCCTCATCTAGTGATTTTAAAACCAAACAAATGTCTTCTTTTAGAAACCTATTATTTTGTAATCGACTTAAAAGCTTGTCTGAAATCCTAAATTTAAAAACTCTTTTTATTTTTAAGCGTATGTTTTTTTACACCAGAACTGTTTGGAATCATTTTAATTTGAACTGAACAGAATTTCTTCAAATAAGCTTTAGTAGTATTATGCTAAAGAACTTCACTCCCTTCATAAAATTTAATTTATATGTAGGATATGCTAATGTATTTTTCTCCATTCCAAATTAGGTGTTTTTTAAAACAGTCAATGGTCCGTGTCAGTGCTGCTACTTTTAGAAACTTATGTTTCATACATTTAATTCCTTTAACATTGATTTTTTTAACCAGTCTGTTTCAATACAACAGAACGGCATGGTCTCATTTATATTTGAATCGATCCCCTTTTTTAAATAAACTTTAACTTCATTTATACTGGACTGGTCTTTGTTCACACCTTCAGCATAACGATGTCCTTGCACGGGTATCCTTTCCACTCGCTCACAGTTGTCACAGGCTCAGCACACACCACTTAATGAGTGGCCGGAGTAGCACTTTGAATTCGACGACGATCGCGCTAGGAGAAGTAACCAAAACTGCAAGCGTTGGCTGGGAGTTCTGGCCATTTATACTGCCAACCGGCGGCAAATGTCGCCTGCTTCACATGGCGCAGCCGCGGCAATAAACTAATTTCAGATCAAGAGAGACCCGGCCAGAGTCTTCGGTTTAGGCCAGCGATCAAGCACATGGTGCAGACGAGATGTTGTGGATCCACGGGTCGGGGGTTGACTCTTGCCCACCTGGCGGCAAATCGTGTGCCTGGCTTTAACTTTGGCGCAGTTATCGTGTCGACTTAGAAAGGTTATTCTTCCGCTAAACCATTTAAAGGGACCCCAGAGCCAAGCTATGCCCTTTCACTTTTGCGGCGTTTACGATTCGCTTTTCGAACCCCATACCCACTTGGACACCGACTTTTTGGCAATTATGTGAGAATTTATTTGGCCGCACACAATTGAAATGTTAAATTAACATCGGCTGGATGTTAGGACCTGCTGCATTCGGATTCGAGTTCGGATTCGATCGCCGCGTAATTAGCTGAGAAGAACATGCTGCACAAAGCGGCGGCGGTTCCATATGAAATGGCAGTTGCTGCGCATGCGCAAAAGGTCAGGCGGTCCACAATTGAATTAAGAGTGCCTGGAGCGGACCAGAAAGCCAGGGGCCCACCGGCGGAGGGGGCGAGAACGGGGGCAGCCAGCCGCCACAGCCGCCTAATAAAGCGAAAGGTCAACGCGCCGCTGTCGGCACATTAGTCTGGCCCACAGACCAGGCCGAAAAAACACTCACGGTCTAAGCAAATAATGTCATTAATAATACCCTTCAAAGAGCGGCATGACTACTATATAGGATTTCATGTTGTATATCCTTAAGTTAAAGATATAAAAACAATTCCACTGATCTTAGCTTATGATGTCTGTACCATGCTAAGGATTATTTAAAGTTAACGACATCTAATGCACTATTTATATCATTTAGATAATTGAAGTTTTTTGTAGTACTTGTAATTATAGTTTCATGGCAAGAGTTATACAAAATTAGCCATATTCTTTATATAATTGTATATTGTATATCAGAATCAACGGTTATTTAATTGATAAAAATTGCTGGGAATTTATTTTGACCCACAATATATGTAATTGTCCCACCAATATTATCAATAAATGTTTCAAACCGATTCCATTGTCCAAAAAATACCCTTTCCATCTCCATCTCCATCTGCAGCCAAGTGTCTGCGACAATTCCTCTGTTTACCGTTTTGTGTGCTTAATTTATGGCTGCAAATTTGTATCTGGCATCTGGAAAACCATTGACAGCTGCATGCATTGTTTTACCCTTGTTGTTACCATCGAGTCTGTTTATGCGACAACTAAGTATAACAAAGAATCAAAGTCGTGCCAACTGCAATTCCAGTCGATGTCATCCGTTTTAACTATTTTTAGCCAGAAGATCAAAGCAATTGATCAACAAGAATGTCATGCTAATGCAACATAGTTGCATAGTTAAAGAACAAATAGGAAATTCACCCGCTAATTGATAATCAAATGAGAACAGAAAACATTTTATGGTATTTTAATGACATATCTGAAATTGTTAAAAACAATACCTTCGCGATAGATGTGACATCTCCTGGTCATATTTTCCCGCTTACAGGGCTCACAGCTGGCAATATATCTTGAATATTAAAGGCCCATCCAGCTGTTTTGCCAGGCGAAACATGTTGTTTAAAGCGGCTAAAGAGAAATTTATTGCTATTTCTACAGTAGTTTCATTAACGCTTCTGGTCAGTTCCCAAAGAGAGTTGGAAATAGCCAGTCGATCCAAAATTCCAGTCACAAAAAATGGATTTTAGTGAGGTTCTGGATAAGTGTGGAAACTATGGGAGGTTTCAAGTGGTGATCCTTTTGCTGTACGGCTATACAAACATTCTGGGGTCGCTGCACTACTTCTCGCAGACCCTCATCACCTTTACACCCGAGCATTGGTGAGTGATAATAATGATATAAGGGTTTCCCTCTAAATTGTACCTAATTTTTCCTTTACAGGTGCTCCCATATTGACCTCCAGGGTCTCAGTGTCAAGGAGCTTCGCTCTGTGTACTCAAACATTTCCGCCTCATCCTGCACTCCCCTTCTGGGCGTGGTCAATGGCATGGGCGTAGTAGCAGAGGGACGTGAATGCAAGGATTGGATTTTCAAAAGAGAGAGTGGCTACGAAAGCATCACCACCGAGGTTCCTAATACGAATATATTATTAAAATTATTATTTAGTTATACCCTTATTTGCTTACAGTTTAAATGGGTCTGTGACAAATCCCACCATCCAGCGGTGGGTCAGTCTTTCTTCTTCATGGGATCTGTGGTGGGCACCATCATCTTTGGCTACCTCTCGGATCAAATAGGTCGTCTGCCATCTCTGCTAATGGCCACCTTGTTTGGTGCTACGGGTGACTTTATTACCTCCTTTGTGTACACTCTGCCCTGGTTCGCCTTCTCCAGATTTATGTCGGGACTATCCACTGATACCATGTACTATCTAATGTATATTTTGGGTAAGTTTCATTTATAAAAAGAATATAACTTTATTTATTTATTTTATATTCATAGTCTTTGAGTACCTGAGCCCCAAGAGCCGAACCTTTGGCCTCAACATCATCCTGGCCATATTCTACTGCTTTGGACTGATGACCTCGCCCTGGGCTGCCATTTGGATTGGCAACTGGCGGCGCTACCTCTGGCTGGCTTCTCTGCCAGCTCTGGGTGTCCTTATATATCCCTTCCTGATCTGCGAAAGTGCCCAGTGGCTGTTGACCAAGAAGAAGTACGATGAGGCGGTGGCCTGCCTAAAGAAGGTGGCCAAGTTCAATGGTCGCCTTGTGGAGGAGACTATTTTCGACGAGTTCGTCAAATATTATCGCGAAAGAGCTCAACGAGAATACAAACTAAATGGTCAGGAGGACACCTTCCTCGCAATGCTGAAAACACCTCGTTTGCGTCGATTTACTTTGACTTTGCTGCTCAAGTCGTAAGTTCTTCACTTTTTAAGTTAACTAAATACTTTGATACCTTCTTTATAGAGTCATCATAACGCTCTCTTGTGATGTGATCAATCGCAATATGGAGGGCCTGGGCACCTCGCCCTTCAAGCTCTTCTCCTTCACCTCGATCGTCTATCTGCCCGCGGGAGTGGCCATCCTGCTGCTGCAGAACAAGATTGGACGCAAGGGCATGGCCTGCTCCGCACTCTTTGTGGGTGGACTCATCACCACGACGACGGGCTTCCTGATTGCCCACTTGGATCCCACGGAAAACGCCCTACTCCTGGCCATCATGGTGGGTCTGGGCCGATTTGGAGCCACGGTTTCCTACGATGCGGAGATCCAATATGCGGCGGAGATCATTCCGACCAGTGTGAGGGGCCAGGCAGTCTCCAACATCCATGTTGTGGGTCTGGCCTCTAGCTCACTGGCCTTCTATGTGATCTACCTGGCCCAGTACTACAAGCCCCTCCCCTCGATCTTTATCAGCTGCCTGATGTTCTTCGGTGCCGGACTTTGCCTGACTTTACCGGAGACCTTGAACAAGTTAGTTTATATTGCTAAGATATATTGGTATATCATTTATGCCTAACTTTATTTATCAGGAAACTGCCCGAAACCTTGGCGGATGGGGAAAACTTTGCCTTAAACGAGAGCTTCCTATACTTTCCTTGCTTTCACAAAAAAGAAGAAAATACTAAGGATGAATGTGTATAACTCGAAATGCAAGAGACTTATTTTATAGAAATCCTTGAACATGGCACATTGTCATCTGATAAAATAACCTGCCCGAAGACTGATTAAATATATTTTCGAAGGATTAATCTAAAATAATTCCAACACAAGGGTAATCTTCACAAACAGAAAAATGAATTTTAACCCTTATTAAAAAATATAAGGCTTTTTAAACTGAATACTAACTAGAACAGTATACTGTCACAACTAAGGTTTATAATTTGCAAACAATAATTTTACCTTACACACTGACAACCAAAAAAATTATACAAAAGGCCACTGATTACAGATGCTAATGTCAAATAACACGCTTTTTAAATAATCACTTTGTTTCTAGTTAGTCACATACAACAACAAAAAATGAAAGCGGACAAACTAAAGATTATAAAAGAAAATCTATTATTTTTTCTTAGGTTTTCTAAGATGTTTTTTTTTTTGATTAGTCACATAGACAAATCCATTGCAGCCAACTTAAAATAACCATTTTGTAAAGATATCATATACTAAAGGCCTATCTGCTTACAATTTAAAAAGGTATGCCTGATTTTACGTCACAAAATAAATCGTTGCTGTAATAACTGTAAATAAACTGCATTGCATGTTTGCAATCACCGAACCCAAAAATCTATATTTATCTCCTCATCATAGTAGTCAGCAATAACAAAGGCCTAAAACTTTTTAGCTTTCCATTGTCGAAATTATTTGTTCCCAGTAGAATAAGGAGTATGCCTTGCAAATGTTAATAAACTATATATCCTATCCAATATATATTATGCATATAATGAGCAAGGGAAAATTGATAAAGCAAATTAAAGATATATCAGTCTAATTCCAAATGAAATCATTAATTGGCAAGTTTGTTTGCAATAACATCTGTAAAGAGTATCCCGCGATTGATACAATCTCATATGGCATTCTTTCGTGTATTTGGCAATTTCGTTTTCACAAAAATACGAATGCCGGCAAGTCGAAAGCCCCATATCAAACTTTACTTTCGTTCCGTGCGGTTGACATCGCAATTTCGCCGGAGACGCGCAATTCCCGGTCAGTGACTATATAGTACTTATACAGAGTTCAGGTTGATTTGGATGCAGCCGAAAGTCTGTTCCTTATCGCAAATTTTACGATGTGTTCTAACACGCATCTGCTAGCTTCTAACCGATACCAAGTCCTAAGAACACAAATAAGTTAAATAAAATATAAAGACGGCAAAACTCGTTGGACTTTATTATCATTTTTTTATTATGTGTAGTTACCTTTAAAAATAATTGTGATGTGAGAATATAAGATTATATATCGTAAAGAAAAAAATGCATAGCTTAAATAATATATAACACAAAAAACATAAATAAAATCGTGCTATATTTATAAAGTGCAATAAACTTGTGGGCCTTGGACTCGAATTTCTTTTTTCTAGGCAATACCGCAATGTTTAACATACGTGCACTAACCTAAGAATAATAAATTATTTTATCAATATATAATACTTTTATTTTAATATTTGTGAAACTGAATATTCAAGTAATGTTACTGAATACATTTTAAATTTCAGTTGAAAGGCTACTTCGACAGCTGCGACTTAACGACCTACAGCTAGTTTGCGTTGTTTTGTAGTAATTCAAACAACATCTGACGAGAGACCCCAGCTGTCAAACATAATCTACACGAATTATTTCTGATTTCGTTCTGGCAAGAATCGCCGAGCGCACTAATTGGTTTTGGAAATTAAGAGAAATTCAACGCAGGCAATTAAGCGGATCGCAGATGCCGTGGCGAAGATGAGTCGGAGTCTTGAGTCTTGTCGTCGTGGCCAGGCTCATCTCGATTCTCATTTCGATTCCCGGGTAGAAACGTGAGTGGATGCAAGTGGTGCGAGTGCGCAAGAACACAATGCTGGAGGTGGACAAGATTCTGGAGAAGTGCGGCGACTTCAGCCGGCTTCAGCTGATAATGCTTTTGCTCTTCTGTGTGATCAACGTGCTATCGGCCTTGCACTACTACTCCCAGACGATTATCAGCTTCGTTCCCAAATACTGGTAAGTATATTATGTCCATCGCGTCTTATACTTAACGCATTGCTCATACGCCCAGGTGCGCAGACGGTTTGCCCGCCAACTTCGAACCGCCGGATGAGTCAAGCTGCCTGCCCCTGGACAGAAATATTAGCAGTTCGAATGCCTGCTTTAGTTATGACTACGAGCTCTACATGGGCTACCAGAGCTTTCCCAGCGAGATGGACTGGGTGTGCGCCGACGCCTGGCAGCTCACCCTCGGCCAGTCCATGTTCTTCGTGGGCTCTGTGGTGGGTTCCATGGTGCTGGGTTACCTGGCCGACGTGGTCGGACGTCTTCCCATCCTGATCGTGGCCAATTTGATAGCCATGACTGGGAATCTACTGACCATCTGGAGCACCAATGTCACGCTCTTCTGCATTTTCCGCATGATATCGGGCATTGCCACGGATAGCAACTTTGTGATGATGTATATTCTGGGTGAGTTGGAAACAGATTGTGGAAATACATTAAGTAAGAATAGAAGACTAAGCACATCTGATATAAAGTAATTTGCTTATAAATCTTTTCAAAAGTAAGAAATCAATGCACAGTGAAATCCCTTTGGATGATACTCGTTTTAGATAGATGTCTGGGTCTTAATTTGTATTTCCTTTTAGTTATGGAGTACATGCGTCCCTCGGTTCGAACCCTTGGCCTGAGCATCTGCATAGGATTGTTCTACTGTCTGGGCTCCATGGCGGCACCCTGGATCGCCGTGCTCATGCGCAGCTGGCGGGGATTCCTACTGGCCACCTCGTTGCCCCTGCTGGTGGTGCCGCTCTTCTACTTTATAGTACCCGAAAGCATTCAGTGGCTCATTTCGAAGCAGAAGTATGAGAAGGCAGTGGTCTGCCTGAAGCGGGTGGCCAAGATAAATGGGCGGCGGGTGGAGGAGAGTGCATTCGAGGAGTTCATCGAGGAGTGCAAGTTCAGCCAGCAAAACCAGAAGGCCTCGCCCCATCTGTTTGACCTGTTCAAGACGCCCCGCCTGCGCCGCAACACCCTCATCCTCTTCTTCAAGTCGTGAGTTTTGATGGGTTTTCGGTTTCAGGTGAATTCTACTAATTTCGAACACCCACAACACGCGCAGCATGGTCATCACCCTGTGCTACGATGCCGTATCGCGAAACGTTCAGGGCCTTGGCATTTCGCCATTTGTGATGTTCTCGCTGAGCGCCACCGCGATTCTGCCGGCCTGCCTGCTGATCATCGCCCTGCAAGATCGCATCGGTCGCAAGGCGATGGCCTCCGCCTCCCTGCTGCTGAGTGGCATTTTCATCTCGGTCACCGGGGGCATCATCTTCGCCGCCGCTGCATCGGATAAGAGTGAGTTCAGCCCGATCAGCTGCAGAGTTGAGTGACGGGAATTTAATAGTTGGATTTCAACGGGAGATTAATGTCCTATCGTAAAATAAATTCATGTATAGGAAAAAATAGTAAACTTCGTAAAAATAGTTTTTAACTATGATAAATCATCAATATATAGTGGCTGGATTTTCAAGGGAGATTAAAGTCTTATCAAAGAGTGAACGGATACATCAGCACAAAACAGTAAATTGCTTTAAATAATTTAAAGCAAACTTTGTTTAGGGCTTAAATAACGTCAATACTTAAAATATACCCATAAACAAGGCAAATATTTTTGGTCTATCTATCTTATTAGCTTCCAGATAATATCAATCAGTTTTCCGAACTAAATTGTATCATACGACATACTTGATTGATCAAGTATATAAATTAGGAATTTTCTATTATTTATTTACTTTAATAAAATATTATCAATTTTAATCACCATTTCACTGATATTATTGCATTAGCAACACAATTATTAAAATTTTAAAATTATTTCCTTTATTAATTTATCTTACCAATTAGAATAACTGGATAGTATACATAAATGATAGTGTTAAAAAAAATAAAATCATTTGAGCCTTTTGATTTTAAACTTATTAAAAACTATTTACTTTCATAATTATTATTCTATGAATTAAAAGGAGAAATGTGTTTCCTTTATTAAATCAAATATATTTCTTCTCACCTACAGCCACCACCTTGCTGGTAAGCCTCTCCGTGGTGGGTCGCTTTGGAGTAACAGTGGCCTACAACTCGGGAGCCCAGTATGCCACCGAGCTGATCCCCACCTGCGTTCGGGGTCAGGGAGTGGCTGCAGTCCACGTGGCCGGCTACGCCTTCACCTTCTTCAGCGCCTACATCCTGTACACGAGGAGCATCTTCTCGCCGCTTCCCGAGATTATCCTGGGCGTGCTGTCCTTGCTGGGGGCGTGTCTCTGCCTCCTGCTGCCGGAAACCCTCCATCGCACTCTGCCCACTTCCCTGGAGGATGGGGAGAATTTCGGGAAGAGCGATCGCTGGTACACCTTCAGCTTCCTGGAGAAACGCACCCAATCAGCCGCCACTCTGGACACCCAAAACGTCAAGATGTACTCGCAATCGACGGAATCGGCCGTCTACTTTTAGTAAATACTAAAAATATACTTTTAGGCAGCGGAAGTCGGTTGGGTTTTATCACTGCAGTTGTAGTTTTCTGTAGAGCCCACCAAATTGTTAGTGTATATAAAATGAGCAACGGTGTCAAAGACATAGAATATTTTTGCAGAATAAGTTTAACAAATGTGTACAATAGAAAAGTGAGAAACCAATAAATTAATATATTACTTTCACAATCCAGCTGCCGTTTGAGAAGAACAAAGATTTGAAGATGTATTTGCATATTAATGTTTTAGAATAAAATGTATCTGTTTTTCAAACATCCTTAAGCAGGATAAGAATGTTAAAAACTTTTAGATTGTAATAGACAAAATTCTAGTTGAATTTCCCAAGCTGTACATCTGTGCAAACATCAAAGCCGCGAAAAACTTTTTACACTTTCAAAGAGTTATACAAAAAACCTTTATTTACTGACACGTCAAGAGAGATGTCAGAACGTAACAGCTAAAATCAGTTCCCAGTGATATCTATATTTGGTACTCGAAATACAAACAAGAAAGTGTACCTTGATTATATCTCTTGTAGTATTTTACTGCTTCTTCTGCTTAACTACATTT